CTTTGCCAACGAGGGTCATACTCTTTATTCCAGCACACGAGCAGTATATATAAACTCACTAAGACTTGGTCTTGCACTTCATAAACGACACTAACACGCAAATAGCCATATTTCAAGTGAGAGTACCTTTCCCGTTCCCCCATTGGAAAGCTGTCTGACCACCGAAGAAGGGACAGATCCTCGGCTGATCTACCTGATGTTTCGGCTACCACAGGGTACGACCGACCTGCTTGCTTGGATAATCAATCATTAGCCTCTCATACATACATCCAGGCCTGTCTACCTTTCCCCACCTATCATGCCATACGTTATCCATGTACATCTCTCGACTGCTCCTAAATATGGAGAGTTCTAGGGGAGGGGGCATATTCCATCCTGGATGCCTAAACTATACTATGGCTATTGGTCTGAATAAGCACTAAGCCCACCAACACCGGCAGGAACTACAGCCGAAAGATCGACAAAACTGTGCAGATAAGTGAACCTTGTTTTATTCCACATACATTGAAGTACACGTAGCTCGAGGTCCTAGTAGGACAGCAAATCGAGCAGAAAAAGAAAACAGCAAAACGGGTATCTATGCATACATGCGGATCTTAACCGTCAATCATGGCATCATTCGGGCCAGCCTAAAGAGGAAATTCCGTCAGATCGCTACCTCATATACCTTTACCGCAAACCAGGCGCTTAGGCCATGGATGTCTTGCGCGAAATGGTGACCTGACTGGACCGACGGACGGCTGCGTGCCGCTGCCGATCGGCTTCCAAAGTCTGGGCGAACTTGCTCCGGGCCCGGATCTCAGGTCCTTTCCAATAGAAAATGTAGATGGGGACTGTGACTAGGACGGACAAGCAGCCAAGAATAGTGCTCGCCCATTGCAGATGGAATCGGCCACCGATATTGGTGTACATGGGTGTTGCATACATGGCTGAGAGTCCAGCGAGCAGATCTCGCGCGAACCCATTGCCTCCCGTCGCAGACGCAGAGTATTCTCCGTACGCGGCAACCATGTAGTCGATGGTCGCCATGTAGATGCCGTAATTGGCAATAGCGATCAGGAACACGAATACTAACGGTACGATCCAGTGGGTGTATTCGGGGCCCATTGAGGTCCAGGCGAATCCAAACAGTCCAATCGTTTCAAGAGGCGCAATGAAGAGCAGAAGTAGAAGGCGTCGCTCAGCGTATCGAGAGGCATTTCCCTCCCGGCGTCGCACCAGGCGTTGACGGTAGATATCGGGTAGGAAGATACCGTAGGCAAACAGGTAGCCGATCACAATGGCAACGAAGCACAGACCGATTTGGACGGCATTGAACCCCCATTGCGCGAAGACCAAAGAGAAAGACTCAATGCAGGTGAAGATGAGCGCATCGGAGAAACCGGAGAGCAAAGATAGAAAGAGCACAATAGGTTCACAGAGGAACATTTCGAAGGGTCGGCGCCAAACGTGTAGGACCTCCTTGATGTTGAGTCGCGAGGGCTTCAACTCGTTCGGTCCATACACGTTAGGATCCTCGCCAGTTTGTCGTCGGCGTTTGGCCTCTCGGTCAAGAAGGATCGTCGACCGAGTCTCACAGACAAGGAAAAAGTGCAGGAGCTGAGTGGCACCGCCAAAGATAAGCTGGATCCAGAAGTTCCACCGCCAGCTCAACCACTGCTGCATCATGCCGCCAAATATCGGTCCAATGGTGGTGCCTCCCACGGAGGACAAGACCACGTAAGCGACAGCAAAGCCCTGATCATCAGGCTCCCACATGTCAGCCGTCATTCCGAGAGTGACAGAACCGCCTGCTGAGCTAATACCACCAAGGCCGCGACAGACAACCATCGTTGCAAAGTTAGGAGCAAGAGCACACGGTATCTGCCAGATATTCACGAACAGTAGACTGAGTTGCATTATTGGCCACCGGCCATACTCCTCACTCCATGGTGCCCAAAGTTCACAGCCGAAAGCATATGTGACTAGAAAGATCATTTGGCCTACCCGGGCCGCCTGTTCACTGATATTGAAGTGCTCTGAGAGTTGAGGGACGGCGTTGGAATATGTACTGCTGTTGAAATTCATTGACATTTGCACGACGAAGATCACCGTAAGGATTGTCCATTTCTTGTACCAGGGGAAACAGAAGCCCAGCTTCTCGTAGCAGTCGTCTTCGGTAAGTTCTCGTTTCACGGGGCCGTGAAACTTCCCTTGGATTTCACTATCATCATCTGGCTGGGTGGCATGCTCTGCATGCATATTCTCAGGTTGGCGCGTGGGGCTGAGGGCGCCCTCCTTTCCTGAAGGCTTTTCTAATAGTTCTTTTGTGTCCATAATGAGAAAATTGTTTCTTAGGGGATCCAAAGAAACACAGCCGTTGTGGGATTCATGAAATTTATGTTTCACAAGGTAATGACCGAGACGGTGAGGCCAATTGAACGGTCAAGCGGCAGTATGGTCTTGTGCCAGCAGACCAGACGGCCGGGCGAGTACAAGGAATTGGAAGATGGGTGGGTTTGGTATGGATGGAGAAGGCCACACCAGGAACAACGCGAGCGTCTTATATAGTGAGATCACATAGTTTAGCCCTGCAGAGCAACATTGGAGCGGAGGGTGCTCGATTGCACCGCTCTAGGAAAAGCAATGGTGGCAAGACGTCATGAACATCGGAGTATCCGAGGAAACGATTGTAGTGTGTAGCAGGAAGCGTGGGGAGGGTGCAGCTCCGACAGCGATCGATCGCCGTGGGGTCACGGCTGGGACGATCAATGAAAATGCCTGGAACGCTCTGGATTAACTTTCATTTCTTCTCTCCACCATTCCTGCGTCGATGAGGGTTAGCCGCACATGGCACTTTCAAGTGACACAATGCACTGCGCCTTGTACCCAACGCCTGCAGAGCCCCGCCCTTGAAAGAAGAAAGCAAGAATTTGGCAATTTCTATGACAAATGAGCCCAAGATACACACCATCGTCGGCATAACCCCATGAGTAATTCATTCCCCAAGCCCTCAAATACTTTTGATAGAGACATTGGGTTGTTGCGCCAATCAGCGGCTCAAGCGCCTATCGGGGTACCCAAAGCGGTAGTCCGGCCACCGACCGCATCCTAAACCGTGAACGTTGTTTGGTCCATCCCATCTTCAACCACCAACCATGACGCCATTCCAGAGGCAAAACCCTTGACAAATCCGGTTTGCATGGGGATATCCACGTTCTCTCAACATGTAACCCTGCAGTATGGCCATCCATGGACAGGCAAAGCGGCCTATCGCCTGACATGAACTGGCCATGATTGAACTCGATGGGCATGTTCAACGTAGAGACTGGTAATGCCTGGTGTAGACAGCATAGTATCACTTCATGGGGCGAGTAAATGGCACCACTTGCTCTAGAACATTGCCCGTTCGAAATTGTGCACCGCCACATTCCTGGGGGCTGTTTCTAGACAATCTACACTCAAGACTCCTTACCGTGGACATTATGTAGAGTACATCCTAGTTATTGCCGCCTATCCCTTACTTCGGAGGATGGGGACCGGTAACAGCGCATTTCCGTCATCGCGTGGCTGCCGGAAAAGAGACCGAGGGAGTGTCATTGACAATCGAACAGCAAGGCGACGTGTAGCCTGCGAGAAGGGTGTCAGCACCCAATAGTGTTCATTAAAGTATTCACGACGTCCCTTGACAGGTCAATGACTCTGCCTTTCCGACACTTTCTTGGCGTTATCACTACATTCATGAGGTGATGCATTTGGTAGCACGATAAACACGATGCCGGGATTGCCGAAGTGTTGACCGAGCCGAAAACATGTCGGTCCGGCATCGGCAGGGCTGCTGCAACGGTTTTCTCTTACGGAATGTAACCTAAGATTAGTGATGGCGCAGAGATGGCAGGAAGGATGAATCGAACACCCGACTAGGAGTGTCAAATGTTCAGTATCACATAACCTGGTACCACGGACGCCGACGGAAGTAAAACCTAGGGAGAGGCAAATGCAGATGGACTGAAGTAATCTAGAGTAGCTTGACCATGAAAAGGCCCATACCGTCGGCCGGGCATTCTCACGATAACGAGCCAGGCATCAAAGCATTGTTGATACGGAGTACCGGACTGATCCCTCGTGGTTATCCGTGGAACTTGTGCCATTCGTGCAATTCAATTGGCCTTGCTTGCATGAAGTGAGCAAGACGTTACATTTCTGGAATGCAACCTGGTAGTGTCCGCAGGCATGAAGGGAGAAATGGGGAGGAATGAGACAGGAATGAAGAGGGAAAGCAAATGAAAGCAAAGAAAAGGATCACGCCCTTGCGCACTCGGCAAGTGTTGCCTCCCGTATCCGGGGGCGCCGAAACATTCCCCATTTGGAAGGGAAAAACCCCAGTCCATCTGCCATCTCGCTCCATATCTACATTCTGCATGACTCTACAAATCTCGCCCCTTGCTGATTCCCCACGCTGTCTTCCGATTTAGCCGTATCGTTTGGTCCATAGCCTCAACATGAGTTGAAATCCAATTCTCGCCCATCAAAACCAAGATTAAACCGAAATCCCTGGTCTCCTACGCCCCACACACGGGAGATCGGTTAGAGTATGCCGGACCCGCAATCTGACCTTCAGCCAGCCTTTCAAAAAGTCAAATGCCGGGTGCTAATCATCGTCTTTCACAGGTTGATCTAGATCGCAATCCAAATCCACTCCCTCCCACCCCTCTTATCGTGACTCGAATGCCGCTCTGTTCGGACACCCCATGACACGTCCATTGCCCACTTGTCATATCGATCCCATAATCTAGACAGGCCGAAACAACCCCTTTGTAATCTGCAGCGACGGTTGAATGGTTAAGATGCCATTACGGGGTTACAGACTGGCCTAGCCTCGTGAAGGGACCTGCGCGTGATCGATTAAAGTACTCGGTCGCCATTGCAGAACAAATTGACGGGGTCTAGTAAGTCTTAAGGGCCAGACCGCTTTTAGACCTGCCCCATTAAGGTGAAAGTTCAACGGAGTAGATTTAGTATTCACGGGAAAAACGGGCCTTTGCTTTCCAGAGAATGAACAAAGCCAAGCCTTGTCTTGTCCAATTCTCCACCTGCAAAGAGTTATCCCAGAAGATCCAGCACAACCATAATGTTTTGACCGACGCCCTACCTATAGGTTTCCGTGGAGAGGCGGTATGCCGCCCATGGGGTCATAGCTTTCACATACCTCCTCCCACAAAGAGCTCTCGATAACATCATCAAAGATGAGTTGGTCATTCAGAGGCAGCTGTAACCAATCGAAAGCATTCTCTATGAAGTCTAAGTGGTTGAAATTGTTCATCGATTCCAGTGCTGTGGTTGGCGTTCCTCTTTGCCCCGCGGAAACGGAACCATCACATTCTGCTCCGCGGTCACGCACGGATGGTTTCGTGGTATTCAATTGGATTGATGCATCCCCGTCACATTCTAAGGATTTAAGAGCCTTGATTGCGCGAGAGCTGCTATTGCTCGTTGAGCTCATTTGGCCAAGGAAACGGAGGTTCAGACGGTAAAGTTGCGTTGTCCGTTGCGACAGAGTGGCATCCGCCGAGTTTCCATTTGAAAGATGCATGAGAGACGAAGTTGCCAAGCTATAGACAGCGAGTGGGGACAGGGTTTCCTAAATACAGTTCAATATTCCAGATTAGAGTTCATTCTGGGCTAATAGGCATATCACGAAGACGAAAACAGGGCGGTGGAGGTATTTCGTCAAGTGGAGGTTACCAATGGATAGAAGTTTCTATACGCATTTACAATAGATGTTATGCGAATAGCTGAAAAGGTTGATGACTGGATATGTACCATTTGCGGGCGCTTGAGTTCTTCCAAATCATGCATTGACGGGACCGCATTGATAAACGGACGATGAAGCATGATCTTCAAAGTGTGATATAGCAAGCTAGACACGCATTAGCTCCTCAGCAGCTAGAATTGCGGTATCTTCGGATCATAATACTTGAACTGGTAAACAGGTGGGCTCAACTGCTTCGTACCGGTGGCAGGGAGTCTGAGATGACTCGGCAAGTTATTGTAGAATTCGGACATGGCGACATGAGTCTGCGTAACTCTCTCTTCCTTTTCGTGTATGCTGAGAGGAGATGCCAGTGCATGACTTTCATCGTCAGTACAATTACTCAAATAGGGCTGTCTGAGAATGGCCAGGCAGATCCGTGCACACTGCCAATTTTCGCAGTAGCCACTCACATTTCGTCCAGCACAGGTAATACCATGCGCAATAGTTTACACGCATATTGAAGATTTGACATACTGGAAAACGCCAGTTTCTGGTCTGTCATGTCTGAAGTCGGCCATAGGCGATATTCGACACTCGGGAGGATGGGGACTGGTCCTGGACGCATGTCACCATCGTGTAGACCGCTTGGCTGCCCGAGGATTTGCGCTATGTGTCTATCACAGTATGAGCCATGTGTTCGGATAAAGCCTCGTAGATGAATTATACTTTTCCAGGAGCCAGACACTCCACCATGCAAGTGACTTGGCTTCTTGAACCTCTTGCACGCCTTGTATCGAGTCATCCATTTTAGAAGTCTCGACATGAAGTCCAAGAGTCAAAGAATGTCGAAGGGCGATCCCTGAAAGTTGTGTGAGCAATCAAACAAAGAGGTTATATGATAAGCTTACCTATATACTGCGAAGCAGATGCCAGATTATCAACTGCTAACTCCCTTAGAGCGATAATAGCTGCTGCCAGGACAAGGGACAGATTGGGGTATTCTATTTGCGCGAGTATTTCGCTTTTTGCATGTTTAGCAAGAGCCTCGCCTGATGTTCTCCAGATACTGAGCTGTGCATCACTGGTATACTGGGAGCTGAAGGCTAGTATTGTTGACAATAAGGTTGGGGTGGCATAAACTTTGACCCCACCGTTGGCTAAGTCTCTCTGGAATAGAGGCTCATGGACTAGGACTGGCCAAGTATTTCTCCAGGTCCAAAAATCGTCTAGAAGCTGGCTTTGTGCATCTGGATGAAGTAACAACGGCTCTACTGACTGTGAATCCACATGTTCCAAGATGCTCACCCCGCTAGAGCTTCGCCGTTGTTTGTCAAGCTCACTAGAGCAGAACAGTCCGTACGCCCCTGAAAGTCGGAAATCTCGCCTGAAGCCCGAAACGCCTTGTGATGCAGGCTCTACACTAGGCGGTAACAAAGCTTCCTCGTCATTGCCTAAACCCACGGTCAGAAACCTACCTTGTTCTGCACCATTGCGGGTTGTTGCAAGTTGGTGTTCTAGGAAAGCAATCCTGGAATGCAGTGCATGTATGTAGCACTTGGTAGGAGGCCTGGGGTCTTTTCAGCGATGAGTCTAGCCAGAGTTTCCGTACCACCAACTTTCGCTTCTCAAGATGATATGTGTATCCGCATTCGCGATCTTCTCTTTCGCAGACTTGGCAAATGGGCTTCTTCCCATCACACTACATACTGGGTCAGGGTCGCAATCAGCTGTCATATGTATTCAGACTCACCCGACGTTTCTTCTTCCTACACGGTACACAAGCAATGGAGACACGCTGCCTCTTTTGTGTAGCTGGCATATTCAAAGCAGCCAGATGATGGGGTATTGTGTCGATGTGCATGAAAGGATTGATTGAAAATGGACGACCCTGAGACTGTGGACCCTGAGCGGGGTGGTTTGTCAGCAGCAAGAATGGGGCCCGCTCAGTTAAAGTTAAGATCCTGTACCCCTAAATATCATGGCAGTCCGATGAACTAGTACTATCTAACCCACGTTCCAATCCTAGATACGTCATGGGTTTCCTCGAAGCTGACTATAGCCAATGCGGAAGAGAAGGGAACATTAGTTCGTGGCGAAAAGGGGCCTAAATTGTTACTGCTTAATTCCGTACGTGGGAAGTACTAGTACTACCATGCAATAGCTGCTCCCTATGACTTCTTTCGGGTTGAATAACCAGTAGGGCATTGTTCCTTCTAGACCAGATATACCTTTTGTACCCTAGCCCCAGGCTGGTCCACTTTCCGCCCAAATAGTAATGGAAATGACCATAATTATTAGATATATGTGTACTACCATAACCAATCTCATGTCTTTTATGCTTGATTGTCTCCGTCGTTCCGTGCATTCCATCCCCGGTCAAACCGAGTAAGGGCTCTCTGCGCGGTCGGAACACAGTCAAGCGCTTTGATTGTAGTCCTCTCAGGACAGCTGACCATATACCATACCGCCTCAGCCAGATCCTCTGGTACCAGCGGTTCGTAACCATAGAAAAATTCATCCATCGCGTTTTGATCATATTTAACGCGCTGAAGATGAAAGTGACTAACCACACAGCCTGGCCGAAGGACTGACACACGAATGTTAGATCCAGCCGTTTCCATCCGCAAACTGTTGGTAAATGCCTCAAGACAGGCTTTGTTTGCGTGATATACAGCTTCCCCATCAAAAGGAGGACATTCAAGCCCGGTAACCGACGAGACGTTTATGATAGTGCCGCGTTTTCTGGGCCACATACTATAGTTCAAAACGCTGTGAGTCATGTACATCACTCCAGTGATGTTGGTGCCATTCATTTGCTCTACCATCTCAATCGGTAGCTCCCAAAATCTCCCCGGTGCACCAAGAGCGAGCCCAGCCTTTGGCGAGGGTCAGTTTTCATCCATTATCTCGAATCCCGAAAGCAAGCTTACATTATTGATCAGAACCTCGATGTCTCCTAACGCGGAAACGATAAGTTTCACAGCCGCGTTGACCTCCGCGTGGCTTTGGATGTCAACGCTGTAGGCGCGAACCTTGATATTGGGGCATTTGTTTTCAATTCGAGCCTTCACAGCTTCTAGCTTGGGCTGATTTCGAGTCAGAATGTCCTGCGGGACCAACATTATTGGGATACATACCCCGCTTCTTGCCAATAGAGCGACATTCATTCCCTTCTCCGCTAGGGTCATAGCAACAGCTTCACCGATGCCCATGGAGGCGCCGGTCTTGGAAGGATAGCATATTTAGCAATGGACGGGAAATCGACTCGGAATGGAGGACTCACGATAACAGCCGTGCGGCCTTTCAGGTACGACTCCATTATAGCGTGATCAATCAAGATAAATGATCACAATTTCGTTCCCAGAGATGTTACAGCCAGTATTGAGGTCTTATTATATATCTGCACGGGGACCAGTCGTATTTGGTGGGGTTGACGGGTAATGCCTTTCCGAAGTGGAGAACCCCGACTTGGCCAAGTCTGGGTATGATATCAGCGTAGGTTTAGGCACAGTATATACTACGCTTCAATCTAATGGTTCAGAGACGTATAAATTATACTTCGTTTCTTGCTACGTTTTCGCTTTCGCGATATAATGAAATGCTATGCTGTTGATACTAAGGTTTCCTTTAACAACCGAAACTAAACCGCAACATGGCAGATATCAAACCATTTACTGTAAGTTATTTCATGGCTGACGTGGTAAATCATACTGAGCAGACAATCATCCAAGGTCCATATTTCCGAGAATCTCCTCAAGGAAGTCAAAGCGAAGCTCAAGCTCGCTCGTTTCGATGAGCGCATGGGTGAGGTGGAATGGAACGACCTAGAGATTGGGCATGCCGAATTCAAGCTACTTGTAGAATACTGGCGTGATGAGTATGACTGGAGGAAGTTTGAAGTCTTCGTGAATACGTTTCATCATTTCAAGACGCTGATACAAGTTCCTGGTTTTGAGGCATTGAACATTCATTTTCTGCATCATCCTTCGCCACGGGCGGATGCCATTCCTTTACTGTTTGTTCATGGCTGGTATACTAGCACACTCCTTCTGGATTGCCGCTGAACGGACTAATGTGGATGTATTAGGCCTGGGTCCTTTCTGGAATCACTGAAGATCATACCATTGCTCACGGACCCCCCAGAAGGACGGCAGGCGTTCCATGTCGTTGCACCATCTTTACCCGGATATGGTTTCAGCGGTTTTTCTCGGCAAAGCGGGTTTGGTTTGGAGCAATATGCCGATTGCTTTGCTCGATTGATGGCTATGCTGCATTACGATAAATTTGTTTGTCAGGTAAGCTTTGATGTTTCTTAACTGTTTCATCACCACTAAATTAAGGGACCGTTTAGGGTGGCGACTGGGGTTCGTCTATTGTTCGATACATGGCATTGGGCCATCCAGAGATGGTGCTAGGGATCCACATAAACATGTTCCTAGCACTTCCGCCCAGTCCAGAAAGCTCAACTGAGAAGTTCCATCGGTACCAGAGAATGGATTATGATACGCAAGAGTTAGAGAACCTGGAAAGGACAAGGTGGTTTGCGTATAATGAAGTGAGTAGTACTAAGCAGATGACTGACTGCTCTTTGCGTCTGACTGGAGTCATTCACAGCGCGGGTATCAGCGGGTTCAAGAGACGAAGAACGTGACGCTCGGTTACGCGTTACATGACTCCCCTGTCGGCATGCTGGCCTGGCTAGTGGGCAAACTAAAATCATGGACTGACGACTACCCTTGGACAAGAGATGAACTCATTCATTGGACATTCATACACTATCAAGGAAGCCCGAGTGCAGCATTGCAAATTTACAAAGAGGCAGAGGCAGTTTTGAATGAAGACAGAAACAGTATGCTAGGCAGATATATATCCCAGCCTGTCGGTTGTTCAGTTTTCCCAAAGGAGGTATGTCAGCTGTTGGATCTCTGTGGCATGGACTGACATTTCATTCATTGTGATAGCTGTGGTTATATCCCCGCGACTGGATGAGCGAGACATGCAACATTCAGTTTTGGAAGCAACATAACTCTGGGGGGCATTTCATTGCGTGGGAACGACCAGAGGCCTTGGTGGCGGATGTTGCAGAATTCTTCGACAAGGAAGGACCAGTATTTAAGAGCGGTGGAAGCCATGGCTGAGGCAATATGACGATTGCAATAGAGCAAGCAGGTGGCCACAACATTCGGTCTGATGATGGAATAAGATGAGTTCCTCATGACGTATTCTGCTCTAGTATCTTGAATCCGGCTTTGTCATGCCCCTGTACCTTATGCGCAGGGCATAGGACACACAAGCTGCATCAAGACGACCTCGAATATGTGCAATTGAGATGCCGGACGGGGACTGTCAATTACAAATCTACAATCTAAGCCATGCAGCCTGGGTCCTCCCCAAGTAGCACCCATCTCCTCCATTAGTCCTCGTTCATCCGGCATGGAACCGAACTGTGAGATATAGGTCGATGTACTACCGAGCACTACTGCCGGTGAACCCGCAAAGCATTGTTAGTCGAGTGCTACTCGAGAATTTCACTCATGTGCCAAGTTGATTAGTCTTACTATTACAAATCCAAGGTGGAATCTTGGGAGGCCCTCGTTCCGAGAAGACGGAGAAGTTAGTAGCCCTAAGCATGAAACCGTCTCTGAGGGCCCATGTGATGTGTGTTGATGATTAGTACCCTAGATATATGTAGATCGAAGATTGAGCTTACTACGAGAGGTACGAAACGCAGAATGAGACTGTAGTTTATCATATACCACTTGACATTTTTCCTGTAGGCACTGGTAATATTAGAATGATGTATAAGCGTTGAGGACCCAGCTGTCGAAAGTACATATTAGTACTGGCCTACAGGCGTGTAGTAGAATTTGAGATGATGTAAAGAGCATTTAGATTCGAGTAAGTAAGCGGGAACATCTCTCCATTGCATGAAGTTTTCTCATGTTGCACGAAGGTTCACCAGCTGGTTTTGTGTGCCCTGTACAGGGTATGGATAAACGTTTACCGGATATAGAGTCGGCAGTCTCAAAAGTAGGTCAAGCTTAAGCCAAGACCGCGGCAGAACTCCTTCTGGAAGGGAAACCTGGTACCGCTGGCGAGAACGGCTGCTGATAGGCTCGCACTCCCGGCGTGGTCTTGGCGTTACTGACGCTAAACCCTTCCTGGGGTTACTTTGCGAGTGGCCCCATAGGGCCACGACAGCGCTAGACCCTAAAGAGACGAGGGTCTAGCACACGTGACAGCCACGGAGCGTCGATCCCGCCCGATATCCGATTGGTGGCGGAAAGCCGTCGCCCTTCCCCTCTTCCAGACGGGGAGCTGCAACCTGCAGTTGCTGCCCGCTTGCTATTCTATTTTTTCACTGGAATGAATCACATCGTCAGTCTCGCAAGCACTGCCTATTCCTGTTGCATGCAAATCACAGCCTCTTCCATTTTCCGAGCTGACCTGCATCTGTCCTTGCCTGCATCTGGTAGCTTCGTCTCTGCCGCTTATACACATGGTGTTCCCTGGAAGGCTTAGCACCGGCTGCTATGTATGCCGGAGGCGTAAAGTTAAGGTATGTTCGGTAATTATGATAAAAACTGTTCTGTGGCTCCATCTACGTGGTTCTTAACTGACCTGGAACAGTGTGATGGGGCTCGACCAGCATGCCGTCGCTGCGTCACACAAGGTAGGCAGTGTACGGGTTATCCGGATGCTTTCGCCTTTCGTGAATATAAAGCCACGAAAGAACCTCAAGCAGGCAAGGCAGCAGCCAGGAAACGAGGCAAAAAGACCACGGACGGTGAACAGCCCGCGAGTGGCTCGACATCACCGTCCGCGGCAGTATCA